CATAGTAGCCTCGGCAAGCTTTTCAGCCTCGTTCGTCTCCCCAGTCTGCATACCAAAAGGCGCACCAAACGCCTTGCGCTCGCGTCTTCGCTCTTCTATGTTGAATCGCGACTCTAGAGGTGAACCCTGTTTAAAATAAAAATCGTAAGGAAATGGGTTGTGCAGCGCGCGGTGGATGCGGGTTTGGTATGCGTAGTAAGCTTTCTCGAAGGCCGTGGGTGTTCGGGTTATTATGGGGGACCGGTTCAGAATAATTCCAGTGTGTAGGTTGGGCCGTGCAGTCTTCTTTGACAGTGCAGCATCTACTTGCGCGACCTCATGTGCTGCAGAGGCTTCGGTCGCGAGTCTGCGAAAGAGACATGCTGCAAAAAATGTTACAAAAGATCTTAGAAGGATTATAAGGGTATCACGCACCTTGGTGTGCGCGTTTGCACGACGATAACACTGTTCTCGAGAACATCACCTAGACACAAGAGAGACTGACCCGGGATTTAATTGAAGTGAGAGTCAAGGGGGGTTGTGACCCTCCGTGGGCGTGTGAAATGGACTAAAGGTGGTCAAGCAGACAAGAGAATCTGGACAAGCTTGTGCTGGACAACAATGTCCCTCTCCCTGGTTTCGAATGCACATCTAGACGATATTTCCGCAAAGATAAGGTCAAAGCCTGTTCCATGGGAGGTCCGTCAACTAGATTTCATCAGCGCATGACACTTATCCCGGACTCAGGGATATCAACGTGCCGAACTGGTGACCTCAGAGGAGCTGGCTCTCATTAAGAAGGTGGACAGACAGCCCAGGGCAAAGGTTGAGTCTATCCATCTGTCAGATGGCCAAACATATGCCCTATTATACCTTCGGCTTCTCAAGAAGCTGCAAAGGGTTGATACCATGCAATGCCTCCTGGTCTTAATTGCTGATGCACTCCTAGGTATGTTTCATTACCAATGTTTTGTGAAGAAATACATGACGCCTATGTTTGTAGATCATGATGAGCGTATACCGCTCTTCGCGAGAGCCGCTCAATCTGATCCCGACCTCCCTTATGCCCCTCTCCTCAGGTGCGCGTTTTCGGTGGCTCTCACTTGATTGTCAAACCAACAGCCCTATGTAAGGACCCTGGAAGCTCAAGATGACTTCGTACAACTCAAATCTGCCCAAATACTGACTGTGCTGCTGAGGTGCGCGTGGTCTGCCTTCCTCCAGTTCATTATTGACGCTGTGTCTGCTCAGCTCGGAATCAACTCCTCTTCAGCACCAGCACCTCCAGCCATTCCTCAAGGTCCTTTCATCGCTCGTGCAGAGCCAGTCACAAAACAAACGTGACGTTGCGGTTCAGTGCTTAGAGTCTCTTCTCGCTCGTCCAGAATGCCGTAGGGCAGTATGGGCAATCCCTGGAATATTAGCAGGGTGAGCACTTATAGCATCGCTCATCAGTTTACGCCTTACCTGATCGAACAGGTTCGTCGAAATCCTTCGCCATAAGCCTGGCCCTCAGATGAGCTACCAAGTGATCTTCTGCATCTGGTTACTTTCATTCGAGCAAGATGTCGCCGAACAGATTAACAAGTGAGGGTTCGAGCTGCGTCATCATGAAACTTTCTCAAAGTTTTGAAGGAAATACGACATCATACCCCTGTTGATCACAGTGGCACAGGCTGCCGTGAAAGAGAAAGTCATTCGTGTTATTATTGCCACTTTCAGTGTAAGCGCATGTTTTCTCTCTTCGGGCATGGTCGATGCTGATGTTCTCGAAGAATTTGATTACGAAGGCGCCTTCCGACAATCTTCCGGCTATGCTTGTCGCGCAGCTTCTTCCATTCTCCAAGAACCTTTCAACCCGCAAATGGTCTGACGAGGACATCCTGGAGGACGTACAGTACGTCAGAGATGAGCTAGAACGCAACTTTGAAAGCTTGACGTGAGTATGCTGATACTGCTTCAACTTCTCACTGACTGATGGGATGCAGGACGTATGATGAATATATGTCTGAGCTGGCATCTGGCCATCTGTCGTGGACACCAGTGCACGAGTCGGATGCTTTCTGGCGGGAAAATGCATCGAGATTGAACGATAGAGACTATGAGCAATTGAAGTAATGGCAGACTCATATATCAATTGCTCGATTACTAATCCTTACTCCAGGACCCTCATCGGACTACTAGGCTCCGACGACCCCGTAGTCCTGGCGGTTGCAGTTCACGATCTCGGACAGTATGTTAAGCATTATGAACGAGGAAAGAGGTAAGCAAGGTTTTATGACCCTGAACGTTGCATCGGTCTAATTGTTTCCGCAGAATAATTACAGACTTGGGAGGCAAAGCCCGCGCAATGGAGCTCATGACCCATCCAGACCCAGATGTGCGCTATCACGCCTTGTTATCAGTGCAGGAGCTCGTCAGCCACCCTTGGTCAGCGGTGTAGTTTGGAGATCGATACTGTCTAAATCATGATATTATCAACACGCGTACTACCACCGTCGTGATGTATGCTGCGACAACCGTTGTATCTCGTTCTACATTCTGCGTCTCCCATTCGTACGTGATAACGTCATTCCTCTTTTCGTCTGCAATGTCAGCATGTTCGTTCAGCAAGATTTGATGCGTTCATTGCAGTTCTCGACAAAGACATCAATATTGGTAGTGTTGCAGCATGCAGTGCCTTAGTATCGTAAACCCTGTGAAACACTGGTGCTCTTGCACGACTCAACCCGTCGCGAATGACGACCAAAGCCCTCATATATAGCGCATGCACGTACTGCAACACAAGACAAGCAGGGTAAGTCTAGGGTAAGTCTTCTTTTAAGTCGACTATTTGGACAAACTAATCCATACATCATCTAATTGGTATGCTGCCATCCAGCGCTTGCATCACCGAAGCAATATTGAATATTGAGGTATGATATCCGACTGGCTGAAATAAGTATTTCAGCATGAATTCAAGTAGAAAGGGAAATTTGTCCAGGGGCCTTGCCTTGATTGGATCAGCCTGAAGTGAATCTTCTAAGCCAAGTCTGTGGAAGGTGATGTGTATGAGGAGGTGTGTGGGAGGGTGGCGCAGGTCGAATGGGAGATATGGAAGGTATTCAGGAGGTATTATAGAAGGGACGAGGTATTAATAGATGGTGGAAGGAGACTACGGTCTGATGAAAACTCAATGAATTAGAGGCATGCAAGAAGAATGCAAGATGCATGCCAGTAGGACAGACACAGAGGACAAGCACTTTAAATGTGGTGCACTCTAGGGCCCATACACAGATTCAGACACTCATATGTTGAGGACTTAGAGTGTTTTGAGCAAACACCCTAGAATTTGCCACAGTATCGCTGTAGAGACTGACATCTCTGTGGCCTCATAGAGGTCTATTTTCCGATGCATGTAGACATGCTAATCATTACCCAAATCATTCCTATCATATCCGACTCAATATGTACTAAATCCGAAAACATCAGACATTGGACATCACATCGGGGTTTGCATCGGACTATTGGATATCGCGCACACTCATCCTACCTATGTCCAGTCTCATTCTGCTAGCCCCACTAGGTGCGTAGTTACTTGTTTTCACATCCCTAACATTTTGGACCGTGTTATTACATGTATTCCCATAGTCTGCAGTACATCATGTCTTATTACATAGGACATCAGATGCGAAATATTGCGCTACTACTTTCGCCTATAGGGTTCCATATTTCTACATATCTACATAAATATTGGACTCCCCATAGCATCATCATCATCCAAGTAGAGGAGAGCCGTTCTCCAATGCTTAGGGGCCAAATCCGATATTTTGTAGTTCTTAGTTGACATTGCGAATATCATTGTTCCTTCACCATCTGTATCCGTCATCGTTATTATTGTGCACACCACTCACTTTTCCGATGCTCACTATCACATTACTATTAGTTTCCGATAACCTGAACCCAAACCCAAAACCTGAAAACATCGGACCCGATACTTTTGCACCAGACATCGTAATTATACCTTCAGACATTGTTTCCTGCGCTCAGACTATTGACCCCACATCACTCACTGACCCTCAAAACTATTCCCAGACCACAGACCCCTGGGTCAAATGCACTTGTCTCACGAAGTATAGCAGACTAGGCAGTGCAAGACCACAACATAAAGACATCATTTTGGAGCCATCTTTGTATAGCCCCACTCTGTGTTGTATTCCTACATTGTATCAATTTCACCTGGCCCTGGCATATTATCCTGATGACCCTGTACTTCCTCAGAGACGTCAATGAAGTCAGTGACTATCAACAAATGCTCTTCCAAGTCCCTCTTCCCTGTCAACTGTCCTTTGTACCCCATCCAACAATTGCTCGATGAAGAGATCTACTGATTCTACTCTCGAGCTCCCATGCTACCTTTTGATGTCAAGTACTGCACAGGCAGTAATATATTTAATCTCCTTTATCTTTATTTTTGTCACCTCTTTTTTGCTTTCATGATAACACCAATAGCAATGGTCAGTTGTTTTGACAGCCTCTCAAACTCAAGCTTAGTGGACTACAAGCAAGACTGGGTGCGGTCAATCATTTTCAGATAAATTCAAACATCCACAATGCTCAAGCAGTATGAAAATTTCTCCAAGAGGAACCATACTGATTGGCTCTGAACTAGGTATTGCACCATCAACCATAATACCAAAGCAAAAGCAGAGACATAACTCACCATCGTGACATGCCCATCTATTGGCTCAATTCTCATTCAGCCAATATTGGCTATTTCTGAACCCTAAGGTGCACAGGTGAGTCATGTGGTTGAATACTGGTTGCACAATGACCTGCTCATACTTACGTCATGATAGACACAACTATAGCCATCGCAGCATTCACTACTTATATGGCAAGTCACTTTGGGATTATTACCAGGCACACATGGAGTTGCTGCATTGACAGACATGGATGCTGTCAAAGTGACAACAACAGCAAGGAGGGAGAAACACATTTTCTGTGCGAGGTGATATGGAATCTATTGAACACCAAAATCATGGCAGGACCAGGATTTGAACTTAGGCCTTCCCAACTCTGGAGGGACATCTTAACCACTAGACTATCCAGCCATTACAGCTTCCCTCACTGCATCCAATGTGTGGATTACATCATATTCCAACACACCCCCTTAATCCACACAGGGATTACAAGGTGCCATTTTGGTTTCAGCAGAAGTTGTGCCTATTTCTAAGGTCACATCCATCAACAGGGCTAATAACCTATTGAACTCCAAAATCATGGCAGGACCAGGATTTGAACCTAGGCCTTCCCAACTCTGGGGGGACGTCTTAACCACTAGACTATCCAGCCATTATAGTTTCCCTCGCTGCATTGAATGTGTGGATTACATCATATTCCAACAGAATCTTCTGAGGGGGTCCTCGAATGATATCACTAAGGATGGGGGACTACTATAGGACAATGGCCAGCTTTTATATTGCATGGGTACAATTCTGATTATTTTGGCAGAATCATTGTTCCTGTCAGATGACACAAATTTAGACAGAACCTACAAAATCTTATTCAATTGATTATGACCATTGTATGAAACCCAAACTTTCACTCATCTTTTTTGTTTGAACCTGCAGTGACCCTGCCAGTGCAGCGACAAAGTCGAGAAGTTTTTTTTATGTCCATTTTATGTCCATTGAGAGATAAACTCTGTAGGACAGTACATGCTAGTCTAATGGAACCCCCTGTGTCCCTGTTGCATCTCTGGAGTCACGAATGCCCTGGTATGAAGTGCACCTACATCAGTCTGCTGTTCCCCCAGTCATTTTAAATGTGCCTTCCTTTGAAGATGAGATGACTTTGTGTATATGCATGTATGTAACTTTTCATGTGTGTGTATGTGCTAATGTCAGTGTGTAATTGCATAGAATAAAAATATTACTACTGGCAGGTTTGAAACCCACCAAGTGCAAGAGAAACAGATTTTGATTCTGTTAGGATAACCACTTGGCTAAACACAACTCTGATGAGCTTGTAAGCAAACCAACCATGAGCATATGTTAAGGTGTGGTTTCATTAAAAAAATGATTGTTATCATTGGCAGGTTTCAAATCTGCACAGTCCAAGAGAAACAGATTTTGACTTTGATAATCACTGGAAATTTCATCTTTAGCAGGTTTTGAACCCACACATGCAGATTGGAAACAGATTTGGATTCTGTTGTAGCAACTGGTTGACCACCTTGACAGATGTGTATTCTTCCTCATTCCACAGATCATTAGGATCAAACTTGAAAGTTTGATGTGTAATCTGCTCTTCTTCTTCGACCAAGTCAAGACCTTTGAAGAAATCTGTC